GAGCACCCAAACTTCCCCCGTTCAAACTTCCTGTCAAAGTAGTGTGAATAACTATCTCTTTAATATCGACGTCCTCTTTTCTTTCCGTGTATCCGATTGTATCTGTGTAAGGTCTACTCGCTTCTGTGTGAGTGTAGTGCAGTGTGGCTTTTGCAAGTGTGGGTTTATTGGGGGGCCACCATTATTGTATTGTGCAAGAGCATGGCTTGTAAGCTCTTTTAGGCTGCGCCTGTGTGAGTGAGTGTGTCTGCATGGCCCCACAAAAAATAATAAACCAAAAAGCGAAGCTAAAGTTCAGCAGCAGCAGCAGCAGATCTCGAAAAAAAAGACTTCAGAAAGATAGTCTTGCTTTTTGTTACGCTCCGCTGCTTCCCCCCTTTGGCTCCACCACTCTTTTTGCATGGAGACGAAACGAAACGTTCACTTTCAATAAAACTTGAATGACTGGCTTGGCGGAGAGCAAGAGAATGGAAATGGGAATGTTGTATTTTTCATGGGAATGGGAAGCGAAAGCTGAACATGGATCGTGTTTTTTTTTGCCTTTTTGCAATGGATTGGGGGGATCTGGGGATCTGGTGTGCTCATTCTAACGCTAGATAAATTCCAAAACGGTATTGACAGAACATCTACACATGTAAAGTGTACGTGTATGGATAATTTATGCTTCCACGAATCAGGGCCATTCACTTTCTACAAGTTTTTCAGGGGATTTCGCAATCGGTTGCGAACAGAGCATGACTAAAGATCATTACAACATTAAAGACAATGAAAAGGTGAAAGTTCATGGTAATAATTCCTTAAATTGAAGAAGGGATATGGATTTCTCAACATTTCTCCTCTCTTCGCGAGACCCACACTCACACACACACACTGGCAAACTGGAAATGAGAATGAAAGGGACAAAGCAGACGAGGCAAAGGCGATCGAGAGGAGGAGGAGCGAGACAAAACAAAACGCGCTAACTCACAATGCGCGCATAAAATCACCTTTCACAAAAAGCTTTTCTCCTCTCTATGCTTGTATTCGTCTGTATGTCTAAAGATCGGGGTATAAAGCTAAACAACAAAACAGACACAGACATTCAGACATATGGACATATAGACGGAGAACGCAATCGTTTGTGTATTTCCACACTTTCCGATTTTTGTCGTCGTCATCGTTCCCACGTAATGTAAATGTAGTTTTACAATTACTCTTTCCCCTCTGCATATATGTATGTTCGATTGTCTGTGTGGGATTGCAGATTGCGTGAGTGTTTACGAATATAAAGCACATGTGTCTATTTCCAAGTGGAAGAGAACGGGAACGGGAACTGGAAATGGAAATGGAACTGAACGGATCGCATCGGATCGAAGGCCTCAAAAGAGAAAGCTACGGGGGTTTTGAAAGTATGATTATAAGCTCGTAAAAGGTAAAAAGTTAAAAAACAAAAGGGAGCGGGCAAACCCGTTTTTCCTCCCTCTCTGTCGCTCTCCCGCATTCTCTTTCTTTCTCGCTCTCACCCGCTCTCTTTCCCCTTTCACGAAAGCTCTCTTGCTAAAAAGAAGCGAGGGAAAATGGCAAAGAGTCGCAAGGCAAGAGCCGCCGTCTTTCGTACTTGTTGTAAATGCTACACTCGTAAAAGTGACCCAAATTTGAATTACATAACTCCATAAGCTGGGCGATACGGAGAAAGATAGGAAAGAGGTTTGGGTTTGTAATGTGTCAGATTTGTACATTACATCTTGGATCTGCGTTTTAGAATATCTGTAATTCGAAGAAATCGAAGCTTTCACATGTCTAAACAGGGGAGCTGGAAAAGGGGGGTTTAGCCAAAGATCGGTTTTCAATGTAATACATGGAAATGAACCAGTTTAAAACACCCCTTTAACTAAAACCCCTCTTGATGGGCCATCTACGCCCATGTCCCTGCTAACAGCATATTTTGTAACATCTGCGCGATCGCCATGTAACTGTATGGGTGCATGCGTGTGTGTGTGCTTTTTCACCTTCACTCTTATTGGAAAGCAGTTAAGTTGGTCCAATGCGTGTGTGCGTGCGCGCTAATGTATGTCTTCAAATTTCATGACATGCATACGATCGCACAGACACACGGGGAGTATTACGCAGACAAAAGCACGCGATGAAGGTCACTAAGCCTTTCTTGTCTCCAGTTGTTGTTGTTGTTGCTGGTGTTGTACTGCTACTGCTAATGATGTTCACTTCATGACGACGAAGATTGGATCGCCACGAACCGAAGCTTCGAAGCTAAGTTTTGGATACGATACAATACCAATACGATGCGATACGATACGATCCAAACCGAGCTTGGAATGTTTTCAGTTTTCTGCTTTTCTGTTTTCTGTTTTCTCTACCACTATTAAGTTAGTTTCTGACCTTGGCTGCTGCTTTGTGTGCTTAGGTGCACAAAGAGTTAAAAACACGTATCGTGCACAACAAAAAGACCCCAAAACCGAAAGCCCAACTTTTTATCTTAGCGATGTTGCAATGCCAGAGATGTTGAAAATCTCGGAAAAGCTTACTTGGTTACTATTTGGCTTTGGCGCTTACCTCTTTCATTAAGTTGGTTGTTCAGCAATTAGTTAATCCCAGGACGAATATAGTCACTCACTTTTGCACTTTTTGGTTCTGATCGCTTATTCCCTGCGATCGGCTGTATAGGGCATAATGCTCACTAAAAACTTTCGCTTTCATTGATCATACTCATGTTTTGTTTATACTTTTGGGCTGTATCCTGTATATTTTTGCAGGAGCGGATTTTCAAATTTCTCTTTGGCTTTTCCCGCTGCTGCTGCTGCTGCTGCTTCTTCTTCCTCTTCTTTTGCTCTGCGACGCAACGCAAGAAATATCCACCAACACAATGCCAAATGCTCACAGACAGCAGGCGCACACTCACAAAAGTTCACTACAACAGCACAGCCACAGCTACAACTACAACAGCAACATTAACTTTAACTAGGTTGAAGTTTTGTTTTTTTTTTCTTTTTGTTTTATTGCGAAATAAAAAACTTGATTGGTAAAACTTTTTCTGGCGCGAGCGCGACCGCGAGTGCGAGCGAGTGGAAGATCCGATCTCTTGCCTCTCTTTCGATTTTCGATTTCAGCTTCTGCCCTCTGCTTTTGCCTTGCTTTTCCACTTTCAGTTTGCGCGCGCGCACGTCCGTTCACTCGGAGCCTTTTTTTTTGACTGTGCGCTGTGCGGCCTTTTCCAAATGCTCTTTTCGCCGAGAGATCGCTGTCGACGCCTCTGCCGCCCGCCAGCAACAACAACAGTCGGCTACCTACAGTATGTCAATGAAGTGTGTTCCGAGAGAGAGAGAGAGCCGCCAGTTCAGCCGCCTCCGGATATTTCCCGCCAAAACTGAGCTTTCACCAGGTTATCCAATATTCATAAGAATATGCGATTTCTGTTTAAAAGAGAAGTGAAAAATTGCTTTTTTTTCAGTTTATGGAAAGTTAAGAAACTATGTATATTTAGTCTTAAACTGAGCTTTCACCAGGTTATCCAATATTCCATATGAAAATATGCATTTTGGTATGAAAAAAGTGAAGAACTGACCTATTGTTTCATTTTACCCCTAATTTCGAATCTAAATTAAATCTAAATAATATCCCGCCGATACTAGAGCTTTCACTAAAAACCATTTTTTTAAAATATGTAGCTTTAATAATCGTAACAGTAGAAAAATATTTGATGTGTACAATTTTTATCAATAACTCTATTTGTTTTAATATCCAAATGCAAATATATTAGTGAAAATGGTTTAAAGTTTAGCCATTTAAACTCTATGCAAGTTAGTTCAATTGCTTTTTTAAAATAAAAGATATATATCCATATAACAATATATATTTTTAAATATGTATAAAATCTAACTATTGAAATATTTCACTAACAGAAAAATATCGCCTTGGTTTTTGTATACCAGAACATTTCACCTTGATCCCCAATAAGTTGCTATCCTTTCATTATTTGCTTTTCCATTGTGAGTCCTTAACGATCGGTCATTTGAAATGCACACGCCGCCTACATTTGCATCCTACCCTTTGCTAACCCATTTATAAGAACAATTGCTTTCGTCCTTGAACCTAATTTCTTCCGTTGGCAATGAAGGCGCTCACTCACTGAAACTAATTGGTATGCAAATCATCAGTTTTATGAAGTAATAAAGATCATATAGCGTAGAGTAGCATGTTTAAGTTTAAGGCCTTAGTTAACATTTATTAACTTTATACTTAGTTTAACTAGTACTGTATTAGACGGTCTTAGAAAGAAACACTTTTTTATGTCCATTTGCATACAGATCCTTATTTTCTTACATCGTATCATTTACATAGTGGTTCAAGGACACTGCTAATGGTTTCCTATTATGGGAAAGGGTATGTGCACAATTCGTAGGTGACGAATGGGCGGGCAGTTGGACATCGTAAACATACATTTAATAGGATAATCGAGACGCAGCGAGGGTCAAGGCCACTGGAGAAATCTATCCCTTTATGGGTGTTCTTTAATTACGATTTGAATATACGTTGTACATAGGTAAAAAGTATATATACATATTTGAAATACAGAAGAAACAGACAAAAAGAGATAACAAAGTTTTCCATGACGGCAATTCAAAATCGAAAGATAATTTGATAAAAATATATTTTTATTTTTTGTTAATTTTGTATTTTAATTAATTACTCTAAGAAATATAATTTTTCTTCACCAAAACGTGTATCATTTAGAATTATAAATTACTTTATAAACAATATCTTGTTATTTTATAAATATTTAAAAAATACATTATAAATTATAATTACAATAAATTACAACAGGATACTACAGATACATAAATAAATGTATTATACGGTATAAACAAACTAATTTGTTTTTATTTTAATAAAGGGTGAGATTAAAAAATATTTCTTAGAAAAGGGTATTAAACACTCGTAAGCTTTTCATTACCAAGCTTTCGATATTCGCACTTGGTGAATGCCGATAACAAACCGCGGAATCGGAATCCGGCGTCCATCTCTAGCCAAACAGCTGCAGTCGCAACACCGAGAAAAGCGAGAAAAGAAATCCGAAAACTTTCGCAAAATGAGCCTACAAAATGTCTGCCGCAAGGGTAACGCCTTTAACCTGTTGAACGTTTCCAGGAAAGGTGAGTTTACATCTTTATAATGATCTCCTAATCAATCTATATGATCATAAATATATGCTGCACCAATTGGACTTTGCCTCTGATAATTCATAACGTTTTGTGGCAGCAGCCGCCGATGGAATCTGAAAGGGCCAAAGTCCAAACTCGAAATTGCCAGTGACGTCTTATGGGTGAAAGATAGTGGCTGGGGTACATCATGATTAAAAATAAAATAAAATTAAAAATCACTGGAGGATAACAATATGTTTTACTCTATATTACAGTTCAATGCCGCACTTTATCGGCCGCTGTGGCGAATCCCCAACCCAAACAGAGAAACGGACAGAACATAGTCTTGGTCGATGGAGTTCGTACACCTTTCCTGACCTCAGGAACCTCCTACTCCAAGTTGATGCCCCATGAACTGGCCAGGCACTCGCTTTTGTGGGTTTCTTATACCATAAAAACCTTATAAGTTTACGATTTGCTAACCCAATTCACAATCAACAGGTCGTTGCTGCAAAAGAACCGCTTGGACAAGGAGCTCATTGACTATATTGTCTATGGCAGCGTTATCCAGGAGGTCAAGACCTCCAACATTGCCAGGGAGGCAGCCTTGGCGGCTGGTTTCAGCAACAAGACACCCGCCCACACCGTCACCATGGCGTGCATCAGTTCCAATGCGGTAATGAGATCCCAAACTGCTTATACTAGTATGAATCTATAACCCAAACATTACAGGCCATCACCACGGGAATGGGTCTCATTGCCACCAATACATACGATGTCATCGTGGCCGGCGGCGTGGAGTTCATGTCGGATGTGCCCATCCGTCACTCCCGCAAGATGCGCTCCTTGCTCTTGAGAGCCAACAAGGCTAAGACCCTGGGTCAGCGATTGTCCCTGCTTGCCACCTTCAGACCTGATTTCCTGGCCCCCGAACTGCCCGCCGTTGCAGAGTTCTCCTCCGGTGAGACCATGGGTCACTCGGCCGATCGCCTAGCCTCCGCATTTAACGTTTCCCGCAGCGAACAGGATGAGTACGCCCTGCGCTCCCACACTCTGGCCAAGGAGGCTCAAGAGAAGGGTTACTTCACCGACCTGGTGCCGTTCAAGGTCTCTGGCGTGGACCAGATCGTGGACAAGGACAACGGCATCCGTGTGTCCAGCCCCGAGAGCCTGGCCAAGCTGAGACCCGCCTTTGTGAAGCCCTACGGCACTGTGACTGCAGCTAACGCCTCCTTCTTGACGGACGGCGCATCCGCTTGTCTGATCATGACAGAGGAGAAAGCAAAGCAGTTGGGTCTGAAACCCAAGGCATATCTGCGCGACTTCCTGTACGTTTCCCAGGATCCCGTCAACCAGCTGTTGCTGGGACCTGCCTACGGAATTCCCAAGCTACTTAAGAAGTCTGGGCTCAGCCTGAAGGATATCGACTCCTGGGAGATCCACGAGGCCTTTGCTGGACAGATCGTTGCCAATCTGAAGGCCCTGGACTCCGACTGGTTCTGCAAGACATACTTGGGTCTGAACGAGAAGGTCGGCAGCCCCGATCTGTCCAAGTGGAACAACTGGGGCGGCTCCCTGTCCATTGGCCACCCTTTCGCGGCCACCGGCGTCCGCCTCTGCATGCACACGGCCAACCGCCTGGTTCGCGAGGACGGCAAACTGGGAGTGGTCGCCGCCTGTGCAGCCGGAGGACAGGGCGTGGCTATGCTCATCGAGCGCTATCCGGGCGCCACAGCCGACTGAAAACACAATTGAATCGACAAGGAGGAGAGTGCAGTTTGACTGCCAGATTGCTAGCTTTTATACACTTTACAACTATGCCTATACGAATAAAGAAATCTGAATTTTATAAAACAGTTTAATTCCTAACGAAGCACCAGCCTTTCAAACAAGCATTAGATGTATCTAAGTAATCCTATTCGGTCTCGTAGAGCTCCTTCTTCCGCAGTTTCGCCTGCAGAATGTCGTTCTCGTTGTAGGTGAGGTGCAAGGGAGGTATCAGGGCGCATGCCACCATACGGTTCTCGGCATTCAGGAAGTTAAATGTGGCACAAGCCTATGGGAAGTAGTTTTTATTAAAAGCGATCTTCTAAGTGGGCAGTGGTACTCACCTGCTCTGTGCGAAGGACCTCAACGTTTATCTTGTACTTCTTCATGAATTCTATGATCCTTTTGGAAAGAGCTGGCGGCGGCGCTTGGTCGCCAATGCCAATGATTAGGACGTCGATTTTTGGTTCCAGGGTGGGAAAGAGACTGAGACTCTCCTCGTTGATGTCCTCAAAGCTGTTTACGTTCCAGGACAGAACCGATCTGGAAATATCAAAATTTGTTGTGAATAAAAAAGGTATTGGATTTTTAAAATATAGAAGAGTTAATGGGTAATCTGAAAGGCTTTGAATGCGCTAAACTTCGGTGTTTAAGTTTCGAAAAGAAAACAAATGAACCGTTACAAAATATTTTTGAAATATAATGAAGCATTTTTAAAATGTTTAAACTTAAGTAATATGTTTACTAAAATATTTTTAGGATTATGTTTATCACCCAAATATTACATTTTTTTTCGTAAGCATCAAACGCAGCCATTGGTTGATTTTACGTTACTAAACATTGTATAATGAATTTTAAATGAAAATTAAACACATTCCTTAGGTTTCTGTCAGAAACTTTCTGATGAAGGATTCGAAAACTAATGTTTACATTTTGAAAACCCAAAGGATGCGGAATGCCACAGCATATACCACATGCAATTGTTTACATAATTCGGCCACCCGTTGCAAACGCCCATTGCACAAACCTGGGAAAAACGGATATGGGTCCTATGAGAACCATGTCGTTGTTGAGCCTGAATCCGTACTGGCTGTACCCGGTGACCATGAGTCCCAGATCCGTCTCCGTGTTGAAAATAGTGACTTTTGTTTTCCCATCGTGGTCGTAGGCCTTGCTGAAGTTTGCCGGAATGGCGTGAAATGGGCGGCACACTGTGCTGGTCGGCAGCATCAGGTGGCGACCTTGCCGACCCAAGGCCCTCAGGGTCCTCGCAATCATGGTCTTGTGTTATAAAAGTAATGAATAGCTATTACAACAATTTAAAACTAACAAAATAGACTGAAATTGAAAAGTTTATTAGACCAGCGTGACCGGACCTGTCGAATTTGATGAAACCAAAACGTTATCGATAGTTCGGCCGACCATCTCTAGCAGGCGATAGATCGCGCTGCATTGGCCACTCTTCGGCTATTAATTTACAAAATTTACGAACAATTAACATAAACTTTTACATTTACCTGTGTGTTTTAGCAATTACTCTATATTTATGTACTGTTGTTGACTACGTCTAAGTGCCACAGTGTCCGCTGGTTGAAGCCCCAACAGGTTGCTCGAAATTCGTAGAAATCAGAGTGATAAACACTAGAATGTTTTGATACAGTGTATATTCGTGTGCAATGATTCAGCAAGGCGGTGAGTGGAGGCCATAAACTAAGCATAAACTGCCATTGCCCCAGTTATATGGTTTCGATCGGCAATTCTGGGCTTATAAATAGATGATAATACCATATGCCCACTTATCTTACGGTCGCATGCACACATATGTACACATGTACGTACACCTGATTGATTGGTGCGTGCACGCACACACATGCAGCCAATTAGAAGCCCCGTTAATCATCATTGGCACTTAAAAGGTTACTAATAGAGGGTTTAATTCCTAGCGCCTAGCTAAAAGCTTCCGCAAATACCTTGAGATAGTATGTAGATTTAGATAGTGTGCGGGTGGGGTGATTGTGGCTGTGTATGTATGCCCAAGTGGGCCGATTTAGTCATCCCATATAGACCATATTGATATGTTTTCACTCTTTCGTCATTGCAGTCGCTCCCTAAAAATCCCCTCGATAAGAATGTATTGCTAAACGTTAGAGGTGTCGACATGACTATATTTTTAGTGAACTTTCAAGAACTAGATTAAGGGATTAAACAAAAATTGTGTGTACTCTGTATTTATTTCACTTCTATTTATTTTGTAAAGGGTTTTCCTAATATGTTTATATTATCATTATTTTTAATTCCATCTTGCTAATTATTTTTCAAATATGAAAACTGATACATTTCTACCTTTTGCTATTCCAGTCGCTCCCTGAAAACACCTGGATAAGAATTTAGTGTTAAACTCTACCTCAAAGTGTCACCATGATCGGGCCAAGTTCGCAGATCAGCAAGATTCTGCTCACCCTGCTGTTCCTGCTGATCATCTTCTACGTTTTCATGGACGTGGAGCTCTACCTGCGCATCCACAACTATGCCATCGATAGGAATTACCACACGAATGTCTCCCTGCCCAATAACGCCGCGGGAGGACAGTCCACCTCGGAGTCCGGATCCGGCAGCAGCAGCAGCAGTACGAAACTCCCCACCGCCGCCGACAGGCAGCCGTCCTACGAGGATCACACCTGGATATCCTGTGATATAAACCCGCTCTGTCATATCACTGTGAAGGCCATTTTGTTGGACCACACCAATCATTATTTATTCGCCCCGCTGGCCACCATGTTTGACAATGTGATTGGTTTCTCGCGCTCCACCTTCATCACGCCCAACATGATATCGTTTTTCCACGTGGGCGTGGCCTGTCTGGCGGGAAAGCTTGTAGCTTCAGACAGTCTGGGCTACCGGCGCCTGGGCGTGCTGCTCTTCCAGATCCGCACCTTCCTGGACGACCTGGACGGGCATGTGGCGCGCGTGAGAAAGCACATACGCGGCGAGCGCTCGGAGATCGGTACATCCGGCTACTATGTGGATGGACTGTGCGACGGACTCGGCTGCATTGCCCTGCTGCTGGGCATATTCTTTTACCTGAAGAACAATCCGCCGCGGAGAGGGTACTCGATCATACCCATGAGCGACTCGAAGTTGCCGGAGCCCACGATGATGATTCCGAAGATGAAGGCCACTACAAGGAAGGTGGCCAAGAACGTGATCAGCTTCACGGGTCAGCTGCTGTTGAGCTCGACGGCGTGGAATCGCTACATAGCCGTCTACCAGAACATGCTGGAGCGGGAGGACGTGAGCCCCAGCCAGTCGCATTGCCAGGACTACATCTTTAAGTCCACCTGGTTCTTCTGCGTCGCCTGGACGTGGCGCATCGTGAATGTCCACGCCCTGCTGCACTGCGTCCTGCTCAGCATATTCTGCGACAAACTGTGGGACTTTCTGCGCGCGATTCGGTATAGCGGTTATATTATCCTGTTAGTTGCTATCTGTTTAACTGAAATGCACATTCTGGAGGCCCAGAACTACATTTTCAACTCTACGGCGTGCAGTAATATTTCACTGTGATTTTATTAATATTACGAGAAAATACAATAATATTTGTGTAGTGCAAATCAACGATGCCTTTTTTATTGTGTATAAATAATGTATCATAATTGTTAGACTGCTCACGTTAAAGTCGGCACCGCCAATCACTAATATTTCGAAACCAACTAATGCATTTTGTCATTCATGCAAGATCAAAAAAAAAAACTCCTTCAGCTGTAAATAATAAATGTTATTGATTAATAAAGTCTTGATGTTTTTATAATATTGAAGTTGATGCTATGGGAGTTATATCGTTTTACTGTATTATTTGTAAGTATCCGTTTGGAATATGTTTGATATTCACAATGGTGACAAGAAAGATTTTTTTACAGGCATGGGTGATTGTATTTAGTATTTTATATTGCATTACTCAGTGGAAATTTAAAAAAAAATTTACAATTTGCAATTATTTTAAATGTACTTCACTTTTGAAAAGCGCCGACCTCTGACATTCTTAATATTTATCCATTTGGAAGCCCTGATTAAATGAGTTTGCTACAAAAATATGATTTAATAAACAATTTAGAACCAATAACTCTTTTTTTACAATTTATGTTTAAAATCTAACTCAAATTAATTTACATCAAATTTACACATTTACTTCAAGATCCATTTGAGCAATAGACAGTTTTCATTGGCACATTTCGGCACATCTTAAACTTTATGAATTTATTCTTTATTTATTGAAAATAAATTTTTTTAAATATATGTCTATCGGGAAACTGAAAAAGCGCCACAGCGGCAGAAAGGGAAAACTCCTGTTTAGACCCCATGTCAAGTAGATAGAAATTCAATCGATAAAACTTGTTCGATATAAACAAAGATATCGCCTACGTCTTCTCACATCACTAGCAAGCAGATACATACAGGAAAATCTGAAGTGAAAGGCCAGGAAAATATGGTTCAACTTTCTAAAGAAAAAATGTTGAAATATCAATTGTAAATATTACCTGTTTCTTATTACGCACGGATTGAAAGTGAATGATCATAAACAGCGTGTGTTGTGTCGAAAAACAAGCGTGGAAAGTAAAGTGAATACCAGAATTGATCTGAATTTGCCTGGGTGTGAATCGAATTCGTGTGAGAGAGCGTGCAAGCTAATAAAGAATATCACGAACAGCAAATATCGTGTAGGAGCACTGTCAGAACTCGAGTCAGATATTAAAGTGCAGCACCTAACTCCTATCAATAGTGTAAGAATTGTTGTGTAACTACCTTTTAGGTCCTACTGGGTGGAACTGGGTTTTTCCACCTCTCTTGTGTGTCTACCTATCGTGTATGTGTATGCAGTGTGTACTCGTGTCGTACACTTGCCGACATACACATATTGGGGTTTGAAATTTTTAGATAGATACATACCCACAGTTGGGATAAGAATTGTGCCGTTTTCATTCACTGATTTATTGATTTAATGTCAGTATTCGTCGATTTCCTTGCTTTGTGCGGAGATTCTTTATAGTTTCAAAGTACAGAGGATTGGTATGTCTTTTTACTTTCTCGTTTGGAATGATATTTATTATATGTCCCAGTTTTAACCCAAGATCTGACTGATTTATCTTTCTTTATTTATAATTCCCATGGAATAAACACAAAACAGATGATTGAAAGACACAAAATGTTAAGATAAGAGGGATAATAAGATTTCATATGAGTCAACAGGAAAACCAGAAATGAAAATTTAATTCCAATTTATTTACTTTAATAATGATTACTGGTTAAGTAAGCTCATTTCGTTCATATTCTTAGCTTATGTCAAAGTTGACATTTTTAAATTTAAAGTGAAGACCATTTTGTGTTGAACGAATTACTCTTTTTTTTTTAATTTTAGTTTAATATCTAACTCAAATTAATTACATAAAATGTACATATTTACATCTAAATGTAGAGAAATTGTTTTTCATTTAATCAATAGACGTTTATCTTTGGCACATAACTTATTCTTAATTTATTAGAAAATAAAGGTTTTAATTAAGAGTCTATCGAAAAACTGAAAAAACTCCAAAGCGGCGGAAAGGGAAACTAATATTAAGAGCTAATGTCATGTAGATAAAAATTCTATCGATAAAACTTATTCGGTACTATCAAAAACATCGCCTACGTTTTTTCACATCACTAGCAAGCGGATACATACAGGAAAATCTTAAGTGAAAGGCCAGGAAAATATGGTTCAACTTTCTAAAGAAAAAATGATAAAATATCAATTGTAAATATTCTGTATTTTATAAAGCACGAATTAAAAGTGAATGTGCATAAACTGCGTGTGTTGTGTTGAAAAACGAGCGTGGAACGTAAAGTGACCTGAATTGATCTGAATTTGCTTGGGTGTGAATCGAATACGTGTGAGAAAGCGTGCGATCTTAAATCTGAATTTCCATATAAAGACTATCACGAACAGCAAAAATCTTGTGGGAGTGCTGTCAGAAATCAACTCAGATATTAAAGTGCAGCATCTAACTCCTATTAATAGTGTAAGAATGGTTGTGTAACTACCTTTTAGGATCTTTTGGGTGGAACTGGGTTTCCCACTGTGTCTACCTCTCGTGTGTGTATGCAGGTGCACTCGTGTCGTACACTTGCAGACATACAGATATTGGGGTTTGAAATTTCGAGATAGATACATACCCGGCAGTTGGGGGAGGAATTTTGCCGTTTTCATTCACAGATTTATTGATTTAATGTCAGTATGCGTCGATTTCCTTGCTTTGTGTGGAAAATCTTTATAGTTTCAAGGAACAGAGTGTTGGTATGACTTTTTACTTTCCAATTTGGAATGCTATTTTGTATTTGCCTCAGTTTTAACCCAAGATATAATGACTTTTTTAACTAGAAATGATAATTTAATTCCATTTTATTTACTTTAACAATGATTACTGCATCTTAGCTTATGTCAAAGTTGTTATATTTTAATTGATACTGAAAACCATTTTGTGTTGAACTAATTATGCTTATTGTACAATTTTATCTTATCTTATCTTAAACTTTTAGCACAATATATTAATTAAAAATAAGTGCTTTAATTGTCTATCGGAAAACTGAAAGAGCCCATGTCATGTAGATATAAATTTCATCGATAAAACCGATTCGGTATAAACCAAAGCCTCGCCCAAATTATCGACACGCGATGAGCTTAAGTTTACTCACATCGCTAGCAAGCGGATACATACAGGAAAATCTTAAGTGAAAGGCCAGGAAAATATGGTTCACTTTTCTAAAGAAAAAATGTTTAAATATCAATTGTAAATATTACCTGTTTTTTATTACGCACGTATTGAAAGTGAATGAGCATAAACTGCGTGTTTTGTGTTGAAAAACGAGCGTGTAACGTAAAGTGAATTGATCTGAATTTGCCTGGGTGTGAATCGAATACTTGTGAGAGAGCGTGCGAGCTTAAATCTGAATTTTTGAATCTACTTTCCATATAAAGAAATATCAAGAACAGCAAAAAAAGCTCTATCAGAAATTGGGTCAGATATTAAAGTGCATCATCTAACTCCTATCAATAGTGTAAGAATTGTTGTGTAACTACCTTTTAGGACCTTTTGGGTGGAACTGGTTTTTTCCACCTCTCTTGTGTGTCTACCTCTCGTGTGTGTGTGTGCAATGTGTATTCGAGTCCGTACATTTGCAGACACACAGATATTGGGGTTTGAAATTTCCAGATAGATACATACCCGGTTGTTGGGGGTGAAATTTTCCTGTTTTTATTAACTGGTTTATTGATTTAATGGCAGAATGCGCCGATTTCCTTGCGTTGTGCGGAAAATCTTTAGTTTTAAAGTTCAGAGGATTGGTAATACATTTTACTTTCTAGTTTGGCCTGCTATTTTGTATGTGCTTCAGTTTTAACCCAAGATATAATGACTTTTGTATCGTTATTTATAATTCCCATGTAACTTGCAATAAACGCAAAAAATATGATTGAAAGTCACAAAACATTAAGATAAGATACTTCTTATGAGAAATCAACAGAAAACCAGAATCAAAAATGTAATACCATTTTATTTACTTTAATAATGATTACTGATCAAGTAGGCTCATGCATTCTTATTCTTTGCTTATGTCAAAGTTTACTTATTCCATTTATTACTGAAAACCATTTTGTGTTGACTGGGTCAGACGAATTTTGTGTGCTAAATATTTTTTATTTTGACTTCTTTTGAGCAAAGAATTTAACTTATTTCATTTATTACTGAAAATCGTTTTGTGTTGACTGGGTCATTTGAGAATTGTGTGTAAAAAGTGTTTTTTCAAAGCGTTTTGTGTGGGATATACATTATTTGAAATGCATCTGGAAGGAACGGATGAATTGAGTGAGTGCAGGGATGCAGAATATGTGGGATGCTTCAGTTGATTGAATGATATGGTGGATCATTTCTGTGCGATCGAGATCTTTAACTTCGTGTCGTTTTCAGCAGACTCCTTGGTAATGGATTTCGTTCAAGTTTCGGAGGAGGAGGGTGACGAGCCCATCGAGTTGCCAGCTGAGGAAGATGGAACCTTGCTGGTGTCCACTCTACAGGCCCAGTTTCCGGGTTCCTGCGGTCTCAAGTATCGCAACCTGGACACTAAGGCGGTTCGCGGTGTTCGCTCCAACGAGGGCAGACTGTTTCCGCCCAGCGTGGACGCTGGATGGGGGGAATACCTCTACTTCTGTGTGTTTCCCAAGGGTATGACTTGGTCTCTACAACTTAAAGAGGCATCCAAATTTATTCTATAATCCTCCATAGAAAACAAGCGCAAGAGCGACGATAACTTGGAGAACTCAACGGCCAAGACCAAACGGATCGAGACCCGTTTGCGATGCACTGATCTTATAGTTCTGGGCTTGCCCTGGAAGACAACTGAGGATAGCTTGCGGGAGTACTTTGAGACCTTTGGCGAAGTGCTGATGGCCCAGATCAAGAAGGAAACCAAGTCGGGTCAGTCCAAAGGCTTTGGATTCGTACGCTTTGGGTCCTACGACGCCCAGATGCGCGTTCTCTCCAACCGTCACCTCATCGACGGTCGTTGGTGCGAGGTTAAGGTGCCCAACTCTAAGGTAACCCCTCTTAGAGGTCCCTAAACTGTGCTCTAACTAACCCTTTTCATTTCCCAGGGCATGGGACATCAGGTACCGTGCAAGGTCTTCGTGGGCCGCTGTACAGAGGACATAAACTCGGACGACTTGCGCGAGTATTTCTCCAAGTTTGGCGAGGTCACCGACGTGTTTATTCCCCGACCCTTCAGGGCCTTTAGTTTTGTCACTTTTCTCGATCCTGATGTGGCACAGTCTCTGTGCGGAGAGGACCATATAATTAAGGGTGAGTTATTGGAGATAAGAAAATGAAAATAGGTTAACAACATACTTTTCTTAGGTGTTTCGGTGCATGTGTCGAATGCTGCCCCAAAGGCAGAACAAAACAGGGGTCAGCAGACACAGAGCTACAATTATAACTCGACCAATGGCTTCGGCATGCAATCATACCACTCCCAGGGTAACCAGATGAATCCGGGTCGCAATGGACACCACCGAGGTAATAACCAACACAGTGCTCACGGCGGTGAGAACTCAGCCATCACCAATAATCATAGCAATGGCACTGCCGGCTATGGTAATAATTACGGCGGAAATTCGGGCGGGGGCTATCATAGCAATGGCAATAATCACTCGAATGGTGGGAACGCTAATCGCCAGGACCCAGGCAACCAGTACAACAATAGGCAGGGAAATTTCCATGGAATGAATCAGCCCCACAACGGCAACGTGGGCGGCAGCAATGGCTGGATGAACCGCGGCCACTTGGACATGCCCAATTTGCAGGCGCTGGGCATTAATTCGCAGGGATCGACCTCCTCCAACCCGGGCCAGAATATGAGCAACCAGTCTATGCTTAATCTCAACTCCTTGCCGATCAATCCCGCACTGGTCGCTGCTGCCCTAAACCAGTGGAGCCTGGTCGGCAACCAGCTGCAGAATCAAAATCAGGACCAACAGGCAAGCCTCAACATCTCTATCATTGTTTCAAACAAAAAACTCTTTCAGTTACTTCGCAGGGAGGAAATTTTTTATCCTGGATGGCTCAGAACGGCCACAACAACGCCAACAACTTTGGCGGACGGAAGGGATCTAATAACCCAAACAATCCGGGTGTCAACGGGATGAACAAGGCCGACAACTCGGGCTGCAATGACCAACAGGTGTGTACTTGCAACTTTCCCGCAAGAGAATACATTTAACTTACTCATGAAACTATTGCAGAACGGAAACGCCAATTGGTCAAACCAGAGCAGCGGATCTCAAAATTCTGTGGAAAAGTCTAACTTTCTTTAAGACGGTACCAGTAGCACAGTTCGGTACCAGCTAATGGGGTTAATAATAACTTGGATTTAACCAAAACCCCTGTAGCTTACTTAGTTATATATGTATTCTACATTAAATGGAATTAAGAATTGTATTTTAAATGTAATAGATATTTTGATAAATGTAAGCAAGGATGTGACACACGATGGATAACATAACAATTTATAGAACTCTCTGCAAAATAAATTCTGCACTAAAGCTCAATTTAAAGGACTTGTTTTATATAATTTTGCTGGAATTATTAACCTATTTTCTATTAAAAAAACGTAACTGACAGCGCAAGCATGTTGGAAGGCAAATTGGATTTGCGCAATCGCAACGTCATTAGGGGAATTCATTGTTTCAGCTACAAGGACATAATAAAAAACTACTTATTTTATGTTGGTTATAAGTACCTACCTAATTGTCGACTATGTATATCCTGAGAATTTAATAGAATCAATATACCGAAATATAGACGAAGCTGGATGATTCTTTATAAGTTTTTAGAATAATGTTTAGGTTGCAAGTTTATTTGTTTGATTTTATTGTTGTAATACCGAGATCGACGATTTTTACAATTTCTATACTATTGACATACAGTTCTTTATATTTTCATCGAATAAGAACGAAGTTTGCTTTGTTTTTTCAATATTTTGCACACCTTTTATACATTTTTCGGATGCTTTACACAATTTTGTTTGAGTAAAGGCAGAGGAATACCCCAAGGAACAAGCTTAACCTCAGCGAAAATACAACTCTGTGTGTTTCATTCCACCATTCCATTATTTCTACAAAGCACGGCACTAACGGAATTTATTTCGTGACGTGACGCAGGAAAGAAATCGAAATTTGCGAAATTTCGTGGCAGACGGACTGGATCACTCCCGAAATGAACAAGATAATCCAGGACAAGTTTATCCCGCAGCAGTTGCTGTACTTTATAGCCGGCAGGCGCTGCTGCCAGCAGTTTCCGTGCACATTCCGATCGAGCGAGCATGAAGCCTTCGCCAATCGCGCCCGCTCCTTGGGTCTGCGATCGCAGATTGTCCACAGCAATGGGAACAGCTGCGTTAAGATCTACAAGCAGGCATGTCGCCACTACCTGGAGGAGCCCAAGAAACTCATTATGACCCCGACGGCCACGCTGGACATGTTTACGCTGCTGGGCAGGAAGTCTTTCATGGGCAAGGACGATCTGGAGCTGTCCGCAGACATGGTCTCCCGAAAGGCCAGTGCGTCTGACTTGACGTCACTGCACGTTCCGCTGGCCGCCATCCGTCCACCGAATCCTCGCCTCTGGACGGAGGCACAGCGTAACTTCCTGACCACCTTTCCGGGTCACCGGCTGCGCGCCGAGATCATGTGGCCATTGTACGCCAATCGGGTGATTATCCTCAACGCCGATCTTTCCTGGGACAAGACCGTGTTCCTGCCACTGCTCATACTGGATGACTGCCAGATCAAGAAATCCAACGTCAGGATCATCTGCATCGAAAGGCTTGCTATTGTGGCCACCTACAACAGCCAGCGGATGGCCAACTTCTTTGGAGAGCAGCTGGGCGAGACGGTGGGCATCCAATTGCCCAGCTTTAGCGCTGTCAGTTGCAACACCTACATCATCTTCTCGACGGCTCAGTACTTCCTGCGTTCCCTGCCTAACCAGCGGTTCCGCAACATCAGCCACCTGGTGGTGAATGACGTGCATCTGCATGATCCCTACACCGATCTGCTGCTGGCCGAGATTCGCCTCGCCTTGAATAGCCACCCAAACCTACGGATTATTCTGCTCTCGCAGATGGACTCTACCAGGATGTTCACCGGCTTTTTTGGCGAGGGATCGGAAATAAATATGATGATGCAACCGGAGACGGGACCGCGCATTTCCTATCTGAACGACCTACACAGCTGCATTGCCCTGGCCGGGATACACAAGGGTCCGGACATTTACAAGGAGATTCCAGAGACTTCTGGCGCAGAGAGCCAGCGCAACGAGCAGATGGATCAATGCCTGCACGCCTACGGAGAGTTGGGCACGGACGCGGCCATACGTCCTTTTCTGTATGCCGTGAACTATGACCTGGTTCCTGTAAACTACCGCCACTCCCTGAATGGCAAGACGGCGGTCCACCTTGCCTCCGAGCTGAACAAGCCCAGTCATCTTCGGTTGCTCCTCTTCATGGGCGCCGATCCTTACATTGTCGATCTGTACCAGCAGAACGCCATTTCGCTGGCGGCCATGAATGGCAACCACGAGTGCATAGATGTCCTGAACAACTACAGCCTGCATGGTTATGTGGTAAAGAGCGCCAAGCCGGATTTCGTGGACTACGATCTTATTATAGACATCGTGTATCTATTGCGCACCAAACCGGAGTATCCACCAGGTGAGTGTGCTCTAAATTAGTGGCTGTAGGGGTACGTTTTCGGAGATTTCATCAAATTTGAAGGCACTACTAGGTAATCTTAGGTACAATTTAGCCAAAATATTCATGCATTAGACGAGTAAATTTGAGGAAGGTATTGAGTATAGAACAAAATTTCAAACTATGGATTCAAAATTGGTTCGTAACGGCTGCGAAGTGACTTGTTCGCCAAACTTGAAAGCGATTAATCGCGGGAAAATACACCCTCGCCGCGCAAAAAGTCCCATCTGCAATGCTATCTATCGATTAGTATCGCCTGGCAATTGGGCATTGTTTTTTATAGAAGCAGCAAGATGAGCACCTATCTACAGAGCAGCGAGGGCAAGTTCATCCCGGCCACCAAGCGGCCGGATGGCACCTGGCGGAAGGCGCGTCGCGTCAAGGACGGCTACGTGCCCCAGGAGGAGGTGCCGCTTTATGAGAGCAAGGGCAAGCAGTTCGTGGCCCAGCGCCAGGCCGGAGTGCCGCCTGGCATGTGTCCCCTGGTGGCCGCCGAGTCCAAGAAGGAGCGCGAGAAGCAGGAGAGGACCAGAGCTAAGAAGCAGGATAAGGATGCCGGCAGGCAGCCAAAGGCACCGACGCCCGGTGTCCTGGTCATTCCACCCAGCACGTGTCCGCCGCCAAAAGTCAATCAGCAGCAGCCCTCCGGCAGCAGGGAGATCAACTCCATGGCCCAGGCACTGGAGGACACACTGAAACTGGACGGATCTCAGGAGGTGGATCCCGCCAAGCAATTGAAAAAGCTGCGGAAGAAAATCCGAGAAATCGAACAGATCGAGAGCAGGATACAGGCCGGCGAGCAGAAGAAACTGGACAAGGACCAGCTGGACAAGGTGAAAAAGAAGTCGGAGATCCTGCGGCAAATCAAGGAGTTGGAGGGCGAGCCGCGCTCATAGCCCTAAGTGCCGGTTAACTCAGATACTGCTATATCCTCTTCACCTTGTGAACAAATCAACGACCAGATGTCGCGCCGCCTCTAAACGAAAAACAAAACACATACATGCCTATGTCTGTTAAATAGTTATATTAGTTGTAGCCGAAGATGTCAAAGCCATTTAGTAATATCGATCTATTTTATTAATGTGTGTCTGTCTTAAAACCTAGTTTATACGAATGGAGGAATGCCGCGTTTATTTATGTATAGGTAACTTTGTAAATCAGATTTAATAAATTAAACCCATTTGAAGCAAACCGTTTTGAAATGAGGCAAAGGGGTTTTCACAATCTACTTTGTAGATTTAGTAGAATGTAAGATTGTTAGCTTAAAGTAGTTGACCTTAAAATATATCTGCCTATGCTTGATGAAGACGTTACTTGTTTTTCTGCGTTTTTCAGGCAACATTCTCATCATTTTGCCCACCTACTATCATATTGTCAAGCTAAACTATATGATCCTGAGTCACTGCCTAACTGGCAACCTGCAGGAGTGCTCCATATTCCTGCTGCACGAGAGCATGCGGAAGGAATACATTGACGCCTTGGTCAATGCACGCGATGACACTGTAAAGATTGTTTTGACCACGGATATAATTGAATCGCTCTCGCTGAATGTGTCCTTCAAATATGAAATAGACACCGCCTGCCAGCTGACCAATATTTATGACAGCATCAGTTGTAGCGGGGAGGATCGATACGAGTGGGTGGCAAAGGACTGCCTCCTGCGAAGGGAGTCTCTCCTTGATCTCGAGGGTAAGTACCTGTATTATATATACTATAAAATATCTACTGCATCCCGTTTTCCTAAGGTGGGGATGCACAATGCTTTCGTTTGATTAACAAGGAAGCCTACGAAGAGCTCGGGGAGATAAGTCAGCCGCGCCTGCAAACCATGCAGCTGGACAAGATCTGCCTGACGGTTAAATTACTTGCGCCCAACATGATTATAAGCGAGTATATGGGCTTTACCATCTCGCCACCGCCGCTAGTCAACGTGCACCATGCCGTACAGTTCCTCAAGAAAATAGACGTCCTAGATGAGGCCGAAGATGTGACCTGGCTGGGCTGTCGGCTGGCCGACATTCCGGTTCCTTGCCAACTCGGCCGAATGCTGATCTTCGGCATCTTATTACGCTGCCTGGATCCAATGCTTACTATAGTGAGCTCTATGTTGACGGCTGATCCACTGGGCATTCCGTTCACCGAGGACGTCGACCACTTGTGGGACAGATTCACCATTTACATACAGAATCGCATCAAGAACGAGCGGGCTCGCCTGGCCGACAATCAGTTCTCCGATCACTTCATCTTTCTGCGCCTGTTTCAGGACTGGCAGCATCGACTGCATAACAAGATACCGCCGATGTACCTTACGGATGAATATAATTTTGTCCTGAACGGGCTGATGGAACAGATTAGCTGCATTCGTTCAGAAATTGTCAGCTCCTTGCGGTCAACTAACTTGATCCATAGTCGTGGTAAGCTGAGTATGCCGATTCTTAACCAGATGTCCGGAAATTGGCACATGGTCAAGGCGGCCCTGACAGCTGGGATGTATCCCAATATCTGTGCTGTAGATGTGGGAAAAAACTGTTTGAAATCAGCCAATTCCGGAAATGTTCACCTGCATCCCAACACAGTGCTTCGCGACTTTTTGGAGCCCTTGGAAGTTTCCACTCTGAACTTTCGCACACCCTGGATTGTGTGCAACAAGCAGAAGAACGATATCATTTACGCCACCATGGTGGTTCCCCTGACAGTTGCCTTGTTTTGCGGTAATCTATGACTATGAATTCCAAGTTATTATAGCCTAACATGATGGTTTTATTTATCTAGGTCCTCCGCGAATGCGCCTTTCTCAAA